CTACAATACATGATACTAAAATACTGAATCACACTGAGTTACATGATACTGGAATACTGGATCACACTGAGTTACATAATACTAGAGTACTGAATAGGACTAGACTGAGATATGTATTCTTGAACTGATTATGAACACTAAAACTTCAACTGTTTATGGTATACTGAGTAATCTATACTAAGACTCGGGGGCATCAAACCCAAGTCTATATTGAATACGCACTGAGCTCACAACGTTCAGAATGAAAGTCATGAACGAGTTATGAAGCTAGAGAATAGAAGTTCTACAACTATTCAAGGAACTAGGCTAAACTATATTTCTGAGGCAATTAGTAACGTGGTAAAAGAAACATAGTGTAGGGAGAATCATTAACATTCCCAAATATAGAGAGTTAGCCTCACATACCTTAACTTCCTGCTCTTGAGCGTAATACAACGTTTGTCAACCCTTTCAACTTTAATCTATAGCAATACAAGTCAAAGGGATTCCATATTAGCTATGATACTCATGTTTTGGTCACTTAAGCATTTTATCCAACACTTGGTGAGAATAAAGCTTCATAGTCCTTATTAATAGTGTCTCTACACCCAATAATCCACTCTCTTGCTCCTAGATAAATTCTAAAGTCTCAAATGGTTATAATCAACATCATTCTTTATCGCCCATAAGGTAAACAACACCCTTAACCAATAATCAACAATCAACAACCCAAACCTATAACCGTTCATGCTTTTCTATCAAACCCATCAACTCATATCTCATGAACAAGAGTCTATAATCATTAATCCAATGCTAGAATCAATTTGAGGGTGAAGACTTTACCTTTTTGAAGTTCAATCCCCTTGAATTCGAGTTCTAGGGTTCCTTCTCCCAACAATGATGTCCCAATCGAATATCTAATGATATGGAGGGCTTACCCATGTTAATAAGATGTTGGGAAATTGAAATTAACTTAGAATCACCATAAAAACTTACCTTGGATAGGAGTTAGGTTTTTGAGAGCTCCCCTTCCTAGAGTAGTTTTTGTGTTTTCGGGGTGTGGGGGATGAAGTAGGGCTTTAAAATGGCCCCCTAAGTGCGCTCCCGCGCACCTGAAGGCCTGACCGTGCACCTGACAGCGCAAAATGGCAGTAACACTGCCACAAGTGCGCGGCCGCGCACGGGGCACGCTCTATTCTGTAAAACGCACATAACTTTTTTCACAGAGATCCGTTCGGGCTCCATAATATATCGTTGGAAAGCTATTTCAAAGGCCTACAACTTTTATGTTTTTAGTTTTCCAAAATTCCTTACACATTTTCACTAAATCCTGCTGGACGTTGGACCTTTTGTAAACTTAGTCGATTTTGTCGAATCTTATGCACCTCACTCTCCATATTGATTCTAAAACAACTATTTCCATCCATACTCATCCCAATAGAACTTCACATGTCTAAAATGTAACATTACTACTCATTTAACACGTCCATACCTAAGCCAAATTTACAGGGTGTTATAGATGCCGTTGGGCTATAGTACACAAAAATCTGGGAATCGGGTGGAATTCCAGTTTTATGGTCCTAGAATGCCTAAAACAAGGAACATTCATGGCGAGGCGATAAATAATATTTCTTACATCATTTTTCATGGGCCGGTAAAATTTTAGGTGATTCGGGTCTGGGCGCCAGACCCATGCGAATGACGTGGACTATAGCACACAAAAATATGAGAATCGGATGAAATTCCTATTTTATGGCCCTAAAATGCCAATAAACGAGGAACGATCATGGCGAGGCGATGTCTAATGTTCCTAAGGTCGTTTTTGATGGGACAGTAAAATTTTAGCCGATATGGGTCCCGACGCTCGTACCCATGCGGATAGCGTGGGCTGTAGCACACAAAAACTTAGGAATCATGTGGAATTCCAGTATTATGGCCCTAAAACGCCAAAAAAATAAGAAATGGGCATGGCGAGGCGATAACTAGTGTTTCTTAGGTGGTTTTTGATAGGCAGGCAAAATTTTAGGCGATACGGGTTCGGGCTCCCGGACCAATGCGGATGGCGTGGGCTATATATGACTGAAAATCTAGAAATCGGACAGAATTTCAGTTTTATGGGCCTAAAACGCCAAAATACGAGGAACGGCCATGGCTAGGAGATAACTAGTGTTCCTTAGGTGGTTTTTGATGGGCTGACAAAATTTTAGACAATCCGTGTTCAGGCGCCCGGACCCATGTAGATGGCGTGGGCTATATCACACAAAAATATGGAAATCGGACGGAATTCCAGTTTTATGGTCCAAAAATGCCAAAAATATGGCGAGGCAATGTCTAGTGTACCTTAGGTCGTTTTAATGGACTGGCACGCCCGGACCTATGCGGATGGTGTGGGCTATAGCACACAAAAATCTGGGAATCGGGCGAAATACTAGTTTTATGGCCCTAAAATGCCAAAACATGAGGAACGATCATGGCGAGGTGATAACTAGTGTTCCTTAGGTCGTTTTTGATAGGCCAGCAAAATTTTAGACGATCTGGGTCCGGATGCCCGTACCCATGCAGATGGTGTGGGCTACATAGCACACGAAAATCTAAAAATTGGGCGGAATTTCATTATTATAGCCCTAAAACACCAAAAAATGAGGAACGGCCATGGCGAGGCAGTGACTAGTGTTCCTAAGGTAGATTTTTTATGGCCTGGAAAAATTTTAGGCGATCCGGGTCCGGACTCCTGGACCCATGCGGATGGCGTGGGTTATAGAACATGAAAATCTAGGAATCATGTAAAATTCTAATTTTATGGTCCTAAAATGCCAAAAAAGAGGAACGGTCATTGCGAGGCGATGACTAATGTTCCTTAGGTCATTTTTGATAGGTCAGAAAAATTTTAAGCGATCCGGGTCCGGGCACCTGGACCCATGCGGATGGAGTGGGCTGTAGCATACGAAAACCTAGGAAGGGATTTTAGTAGTAGGCGGCATCCCCTCTTAGTTTTGAGTAGGCGGAACCATTCTGTTTTGGTTTTTCTCCACGGGTGATTCTGGAATTTTCTCGGAGCAACCCCCCAGATTCTAAACCCAGGAGTCAACTTTCCCGTATGAGCATTCGGTACATGTATCAGTCCGTGGAAGAGCGAAAGGGTCACCACTACTGAGGATCCCACCTAGTGAACAAGTGTAAGCTTCGCTGCCCGACAGTATAGAGTACTGACCACACCGAGGGACGGGCCCGTCCGATTTTTGAGACCCTTTCTGATTCCCTCACCCAATCTCATGAGAAGCAAGCCCAGCAGGATCCGCCTTAACCTGTCCTCAGACAGCCATCCTTTCGGGCGGAATTCTATTTTTATGGCCCAAAAACACTAAAGATGGGGAATAATCATGGAGAGGCAATGACTAGTGTTCCATAGGTAATTTTTTATGGGCCGGCTAAATTTTAGGCGATCCGGGTCCGGGCACCCGGGCTCATGCGGATGACGTAGGCTATAGCACATGAAAATTTGGGAATGAGATAGAATTCCAGTTTTATGCCGCTAAAATGCCAAAAAACGAGGAACGGCCATGGCGAGGCGATGACTAGTGTTCCTTAGGTCATTTTTCATGGGACGCCAATATTTTCGGTGATCCGGGTTCGACCGTTCGGACCCATGCAAATTGCATGGGCTATTGCAAACGAAAATCTGGGAATCAAGCGAAATTCCAGTTTTATGGCCCAAAAATGCCAAAAAATGAGGAACGACCATGGCGAGGCGATGACTAGTGTTCCTTAGGTCCTTTTTGATGGGCTTGCAAATTTTAGGCGATCCGGGCCTAGGAGCCTGGACACATGCTGATGGCGTGGGCTATAGCACACGAAAATCTGAAAATCGGACGCAACTCCAGTTATATGGCTCTAAAACGCCAAAAAACTAGGAACGGTCATGGAAAGGCCATGACTAATGTTCCTTAGGTCATTTTTGATGGGCCGGCAAAATTTTAGGCAATCCGGGATCGGGCGCCCGGACCCATGCGGATGGTGTGGGCTATAGCACACGAAAATCTGGGAATCGGACGGAATTCCAGTTTTACGGCCCTAAAACATAAAAAAACGAGGAACAGTCACGGCAAGGCTATGGCTAACGTTCTATAGGTCGTTTCTTATGGACCCGCTAAATTGCGCTTGGACCCATGTGGATAGTGTGGGCTATAGCACAAGAAAATCTGGGAATCGGGCAAAATTCTAGTTTTATGGCCTTAAAATGCCAAAAAACGAGGAATGATCATGGCGAGCTCATGACTAATGTTCCTCAGGTCATTTTTGATGGGCCGGCAAAATTGTAGACGATCCGGGTCCGGGCGCTCGGACCCATGCATATGGCGTGGTCTATATAGCATACGAAAATCTGGGAATCGGGCGGAATTCCAGTTTTTTGGCCCGAAAACACCAAAAACGAGAAACAACCATGGCAAGGCGATGACCAAAAAACGAGGAACGATTTATTTTATGGCATTTCGATGTCATGCAACATGAATTTTGAATTATATCCACTTTTTCGTGTGTACTAGCACATGTTGATTATGTATAAAAAAAAAAACTTACGAACTCCGATTGGCCTGTAATTTATAAATCCATGGAAACTGGCCTAGTGACCAATACGTATATCTTCGCCATGACTTTCGGGTTCATTTTATGGCGTTTCGGGGTCATACAACATGAATTTGCGATTATATCCTTCGTATGTATTAGTACATGGTAATTTTGTAGAATTTTTTTGACCGACTCTGATTGGCCTGAAATTTTGTAGGTCCATAGGAAACGGCCTAGTGACCAATACTCCTTTCTTCGCCATGACTTTCGGGTTCATTTTATGGCGTCCGGGATCATGTAATACGAATTTGTGATTATATTCACTTTTTGTGTATTAGTACATGCTGATTCCGTAAAAAAAATTTGGCAAACTCGATTGGCCTGAAATTTTGTAGGTCCATGGGAAACGGTCTAGTGACCAGTACTTATGGTTTCACCATAAATTTTGGGTTCATTTTATTGCGTTTCAGGGATATACAATACGAATTTGTGATGATATACACTTTTCGTGTGCGGATGGTGCAGGTGGGGCAGGAAATACTCTAAATAGTGGCAAGAGTCGAACTTTGGCAACAAAAAACAAAAACAAGAGAAAATGACTAGGCAAGACTCTCCATACTAACTCTGAACCTTACGCATGACCAACCTTGTGCTTGTGAGAAAGAATTTAGCATCAAAATGTTTGATCCCCACAAGTTCACAAGACTAGTAGTTTCATTGAAATGTTAACATCTTCTTCAGGTGATAAGATGGATTCCAATTCCATTTCCTGCTGAGGCAATAGCAAGGAACATGCTGATTCCCAGGTGGCTGCTGGTACTGTTTTCCAAAAATGCCTCAACAGATTAATCATGCGTTTTGCAGTTTCTTCTGTAGCAAGATCCTCTCCAGCACAAAGAACCTACAAAAGAACCAACTTTCAATTACTTAATGTCTAATTTGATGTAAATGTCACAGTAACCATATCAATAGATTAATCAACTGTATTAGTGAAACAAGAAAAACAAATGAAAAGGAACAATCAAATGAACCCTCCAAATAGACAGATGGAGCACTAATTGCCAACTGACTAACACATGATACAAACTGCCTTTTTTCTTTTGTCTTATTTTTCCCTATTGCATAGGGTCCAGGGAAAGGGGAAGGGGGAAAGGGCCAGTGAAAATCAAACTCACACCTATTGTGTGTAGGGGCGGATGCACCATGAAGTACTTTTGACGCGGAACATAAATTTATATGTAAAAATTCAATATTATTGCAACAAATAGTAGATACGAACCGATAATTTTAAAACATAAAGGGTTCAATGCTAAGAATCTTAAGAATGAACCATAGAGCTTAAATTGTGAATCCGACTCTAATTGTGTGGGACTACCAGTGATTTACTACATGGTTAAGAATCTGTTTTTGTCAGTCTTACCTATTCATGTCGAGGGAACTTTTGTATGTAATTATGAGACTATGGAAATAAGAAGCTCAAAATCAGCACAGCATCAACATAAGAAAACACTGAAACCTTGGATCAAAGTGATGAAACCACCTTAACATGACATACCTCTAAGCATTCATTCAATCCACTCAATTTAGTTGCACATACTTCTGTGTCATGCTCCTACATGAGACAGCAATCAAAGTGTTAGTTTCTCATTATTCAGATAAATGAGCTCAATCCCTTTTCCCACAGAAAGAGATAATGTAAATAGTAATGTGTTGAAGGTAACCGAATATAAAGTGTCCCCAATAGCCAGTATTATCTCGCCAGACAAACTGCTTGAGGTACAACTGGTTTCCACCTTGAGCAGTCCCTTTCTCTACCGCCAGTTTAGCAGAATGCAACAGGAAGTACAATGCTTAACCACCACAATTTAAAACATCTCATTAGGTAATGGAGAAGTCAAAGAAAAATTAAGAAAACCATATTAAAATCATGAGATTCTTTTTACCAGCACTAGCACCTTCCCTGACACCATTGTCGAAATCGAATTTCAGAAGGGGAACTAAAACTGAAGCAGCCTGTTTCATGTTTTAAGCCGTAGATTTCATTTGATTATTTTGAGTCCACTTAACAGAAAAAATGAAGTAAACATGCAACTGAATATTCATACTAACCTGGGAAATCCATGGGTAGAAGTCTTCTTCCAATTTTTGAGCATATAAAGCAAGGATTTGACAGGCTACAGATTTCCCTGCTAGGAGGTCACTTCCTTTGACACATATTATTTCATTCCCAAACTTGACTTTGTGTATGCTGCAAAATGTGAAACTTAAGCAAGATCCTTAATAGCCCGAATAACCACCTCTCCCTAGCAGTCTTAGCAGTGAAAAGAAATAAAAAGAAATCCTATGTCTGATAGATATCAAAGCTGTTAACTGAGTGAGTAACACTGTATTTTTTGCTGGGTTACTAAAACTGATTAAAACCAGGATGTGGTAAACTAGTTGACACCATGTCTCACAGACATCAAAGCAATACAGATCAGCGGGTCAAATTTTGATATTCTAGAGGACATGTTATGCTACTTTGAGTTGCAGACTTAAACACAGACAATATCATGCATCGAATGGCAACAATTTAATGATTATTGAGTAAAAGTTGGAGATAACGAGGAGGAGGGCAGGAAGTTATTTGAATATATTGAGAAGAGATTTTTTAGCAGGAAGAAGCATAAAAATTAGAAAGGAAACAGAACATGCTCAAGATTAATGTAATAAAGAATACAACACCATTATAAGGGGATATCTTAAGAGGGTCAGGAGCACTATATGACCTGATTGTCTACAGTGCACGTCCCCTTTAGATTCTCCACTGATAACAAATTCTTTACTGATCGAAAAGTAAGAAAAATAAGTTATAACTCAGCCGACTCCGTATCATTTATACACTAATCAAATAATGGCATTCCTCCTAAGAATCGTAAATTTATATGATACTTTTAAAATGTATCACAAATAGAAATGCTAAATTTAGTGAATCATCAATATAGATCCACGTGTAGAAAAAGAGATTGTCTTGAACTAGAAAACTTAAAGCAGATGCAGAGAAGCTAAAAGAGATATTATATAGAAGGGCTTATTTTATTAACTGAAAGTGGTGTGCCTTTTATACGCTTACAAGCTCGTAAAGATAATATCTATCCATAACACCCATTTGACTAAAATCTAGGAAATGACCAGAAAAACAGCAACCAAATTAGAAAAAATAGCAACTGACCTAAAGACTCTGTCAACTCTAGTAAAAGACTTATTCAACTCACAGTAAATAACTTCATCCAGCCAATAAACTTAAAAGAGTTTTTTGAATCAGTTCCCAACACTCCCTCCCTTGATTCAAAATCACATACACCATGGCATAACATAAAGTAATTGTGTTTTACCGGAGGAAGTGCTTTAGTAAGAATGTCTGCTGCTTGCTCTTCAGTGCTGCAGTGCTTCAACCCAATCAGCCCCTTTGCAACTAGTTCACGAATGAAATGATGTCAAATGTCTATGTGCTTCGACCTTCCATGAAATACAGGATTTTTGGTCATTGCAATTGCTGATAAATTGTCACAAAAGATTTTTGTTGCTTCCTTTTGCTCTTGGTAAAGATCTGCAAGTATCTTCCTTAGCCATAATGCTTGACATGCTGATGACGTTGCTGCAACATATTCTACCTCTGAAGATGACAACGTCGTTGCTTGTTTCTTTGAGCTCCAAGTAATAGCTGCAGAACCAAAAGTGAAAAAATTCCCAGAGACACTCTTCCTATCATCCAAAGATCCTGCCCAGTCACTATCCGAAAAGCCATACAAATTAAAACTAGAACATCGAGAGTACCATAATCCAAAATCCATAGTTCCAGCAACACAGCGCAAGATTCTTTTAGCTGCTCCAAGATGATGCTTTGAAGGTTTATGCATAAACCTCGAAATAACTCCAACAGAGAATGATATATCTGGACGGGAGTGAGTCAAATAAATCAGGCCTCCAACTAAGCTTCTAAAATAGCTTCCATCAACTTTTTCAGTACCATCTTCAAGTTGCAGCTTCTCATTTACATTTATAGGAGTTGGCATTGTTTTGCAATTAAGCATATTGAACCTTTTGAGCAAATCAATGGCATACTTCCTTTGTGAAATGAAAACTCCATCTTCTCCTTGCTTTACTTCAAGTCCAAGAAAATAGTGCAACAGTCCCAAATCTGTCATTTCAATCTTATTCATCATGGAAGATTTGAAATACTTATAACAGAGTACGTTGAGCCCATATATATCATATCATCAAAATACAAATATACCAACAAAAGATCATTTTTTTCATACTTCTTCACATATAAAGTTGGTTCATTCTTACTTCAAATCCATTTTCTCTGAAATAAGAGTCGATTTTGCTGTACCATGCGTGCGGAGCTTGTTTAAGCCCATAAAGTGATTTCTTCAGCTTGTACACTTTGTTTTCCTTTCCTTTCTCTACATAGCCATGTGGTTGGGCTACATAGACTTCTTCTTTCAAGTCGCCGTTAAGGAATGCATATTTAACATCAAACTGATAAATCATCCATTTTAACTATACAACCAATGCTAAAAAGATTCTTACTATTTCAAAACGAGCAACTGGAGAAAAAGTTTCGTCAAAGTCAATACCTTGTTGCTGCGAATATCCTTTTGCTACCAGTCTGGCTTTATGTTTCTGCACACTCCCATCAACATGGTATTTTATCTTGAACACCCATTTTAATCCTATAACATTTTTGCCGTCTGGAAGATCCACCAAATCCCATGTTCCATTTTTCCTTATTGCCATAAGCTCTTCTTCCATTGCACAACTCCATTTCTTTTTTGTTGAAGCTTCTTCAAAGCTAACTGGATCTGCACCAAATAAAGCAAAAGTACATGTTACATAAATATCTGCAAGTAATCTAGTCTTCTGTGGAGGAGTCTCATTAGAATCTTCTAAGTCGGGCACCATCAATGTTGAGCTGCTTCCAACTGGACTGATGTTACTGGAACTTTCTAAAGAGTGGCTTGGTGTATTAACAAAAGGCTGACTTTCTCCTTCACTAGGAAAAACTTCATCTTCCATTCCAGCTTGTGAACTTTTACTGTGAACTTTTACTGCTTCTTTCCCATTTCCAACATGAGTTTTCATCAAATACCACATCTCTCCTGATAATCACTTTGCCATTTGTGGGGTTATATAATCGAAAAGCTTTGGATTCAGAGCACTATCCAATAAAGATGCACTTTTCAGATTTTCCATCAAGCTTTTGATGATGTTGAGAATTTATTAAAGCATATGCAATACAACCAAAAATTCTCAAATGACTTACCCACGGCTTTCTACCTTTCCAAGCTTCAACTAGTGTTTGGCCCATGACTGCTCTTGTAGGAGACATATTGAGCAAATAAACTGCAGTATGAATTGCCTCAGCCCAAAGCTGATTCAGAAGATTCTTGCTCTTCAGCATGCTTCTGGCCATCTCCACTACGGTTCGGTTCTTTCGCTCCGCAATTCCATTTTGCTCCGGAGTGTAAGGTGCAGTCAATTCCCTGTGAATGCCATTATCTTCACAAAACAACTTAAACGCTTGAGATACAAACTCACCTCCTCTGTCTGTACGAAGAACCTTAATTTTAGTACCAATTTGGTTCTCAACCAATGCCTTGAATTTTTTGAAGTTTGCAAAAGTTTCTGATTTGAACTTCAAAAAATATACCCAACTCATACGACTATAATCATCTGTGAATAGTAGAAAATATCGAGAACCAGCAAGCGATTGCGTATTCATAGGGCCACACAGATCTGCATGAATAATTTCAAGACAACTAGTAGCTCTCCAAAATTTTCCTACAGGGAAGGATTTTCTGTGTTGCTTGCCATATACACAACCTTCACACACATTTTCAACAGATTTTATGTTTGGCAAACCATGAACCATCTTATATTGACTCAATAGCATCAATCCATTCATATTCAAGTGTCCATAACGTAAATGCCACAACTTAGATTCTTCAACATTTCTTTCACTAACAACCAATGCTTGTTCTTTGAAATTTCAAGAGGAAACATTTTGTTCTCTGTCATATGAATACTTGCTAAGATTTGACCCGTCTTTTTATTTTTAATAACACATAATCCATCATCAAACAAGACAGAGAATCCACTATTCAATAATTGCCCAACACTTAGCAAGTTATGAGCCAAACTAGGAGTAAAGAAAATATTTTGAATAAGTTTTACTTTACCTTGACTAGTTTGGACAGCCACAGTACCTTCACCTGCAACATGTATTTCCTTGTTATCTCCAAGCCAAATACGCCTCCTTTTTGTCTCATCTAACTCTCTGAATGCTGACCTTTCTCCAGACATGTGATGGGAGCAGCCACTATCAACAAACCAAACACCAATCTTATGATCCATGATAGTAGAGCGAGCCATAAAAAGCATGCTTTCTTCTTGTTCTTCCTCTGCATAAATAGCTTGATAGTTTTTGTACCAGCAGTTAGCTTCTATGTGACCGAACTTGTGGCAGTTGTAACATTGCACTCCGTTTCTACCACGTCCAGATTGGCCTCTGCCTCTACTACGTCCTCTTCCTCTAAAAGCACCTCCCCACCATGTCCTTGTGTTCTTTGCTCTGGCGACTTCTCATTCTGAATTGGAGACTCTTCCTTAACTTGAAAAGCTTGTTCTTCATTCTTCTCAATCGACTTGTTGATTCTTGACTCGTGAGATTGCAAAGAGCCCATTAGTTCATCAAACGAGAACACAGATAAGTCTTTTGATTCCTCAATGGCTGCAACCACATGATCAAACTTTGGAGGTAAACTTCTTAAACTTTTGCTACTACAGTTTCATCACTTACCTCTTCACCATATGATTTCATTTGACTTACAATCCCAGTAACTCTTGATAAAAAGTCTTGCACAGATTTATTATTTTTCATGAACAATGTTTCAAAATCGCGGCGAAGAGATTGTAGTTTTACAGTAATTACCTTTGAAGAACTTTGAAACTTCTTTTTCAAGATCAGCCACGCCTCTTTTGAGGTAGTTACTGCTGCAATTCTTGAGAAAATCGTCTCATGAACAGCTTGCTGAATAAAGAACAAAGCTTTGGCATCCTTCTTTCTGACTTCTTTTAATATCCTCTCATCCTCTGCATCCGGCTCATCCACATCAACGAACCCATCTTCAACTAAGTCCCACAATTCTTGAGACTTAAACAAGGTCTTCATTTTGATACTCCAAAACTCATACTTCTCGCCATTGAAGACGGGTATGAGTGGTTGTGAAGAAGAGGAAATAGCATTTGCTGTACCTTTTTGTTTTTCTCGTATTTCACTCCCTCACGTGTTTCTCTCCTTATCCCTCTATCACCTAGTCAAAGACCGAACGCAGGCTCTGATGCCACAATGTAGAAAAAGAGATTGTCTTGAACTAGAAAATTTAAAGCAGATGCAGAGAAGCTAAAAGAGATATTCTGTAGAAGGGCTTATTTTATTAACTGAAAGTGGTGTGCCTTTTATAGGCTTACAAGCTCGTAAAGATAATATCTATCCATAACACCCATTTGACTAAAATCTAAGAAATGACCAGAAAAACAGCAACCAAATTAGAAAAAATAGCAACTGACCTAAAGACTCTGTCAACTCTAGTAAAAGAATTATTCAACTCACAGCAAATAACTTCATCCAGCCAATAAACTTAAAAGAGTTTTTTGAATCAGTTCCCAACACCATGAGCCCAGCAACTGTTGGCAACTAGAGTGAATATGATGCAGTAGTATAGAAAATAAAGATTATTTTCCGTTAGAAGACTGTAAGAACACAGTGTCACATAGGCTTTTGCTGATTCAGTCGTTTATCCTAGATTGTCTAGAAAAGAAAGCAAAAATCCATATTAAGAAAGAAAAACAATCTAAATGAACTTCATAACGGAAAGAAAATGCCAAACCTCCATGATTAAAGCTTACCTATCATCTAATTTATCTGAGGATACGGTCTTATTGGGCTCAAGCTGAGCACATTCAACCAAAGGGGGAATGATGGTACTCAGGTAAGGAAGAAAATCCTTTCCCATGCACTCGCAAATTCTACCGTATGCCTGCAATGAGATCGAGAAAATACTGAGAGGCCAGTTTAGAGAAAAAGTTCTGAGCCCGTAAAATCAAAGGATTAACACATACCTGTACACTGCGAACAATAGTATCAAAATCTTTTACTTGTGATTCTTATAATGACTTAAGCACTTCCATAACCTTTAATGACAACAAAAATAAAATAAGAAAAATATTCCACTTCGAGAAACGAATAACAAGATCAGGCCACCGTGCCATTGAGAGAAGAAAAGGAGCTCCAAAGTAGAGTCAGAATTTAGGACCAAAAAGGAACTAGTAGGAGAAAATGCGTGTCACAATTCGTTGCTCCCCACAGTATGAAGCAAGTCTTAAATTCAAATAGGTATAATCGATACTATGGCTGGCCTGTGCGAAAGCCATATGACAAAGGCTAGCAAATGCAAACAAGAAAATGACATTCCATCTGCAATGGCACTGCTGAATCAACGAATACATGACATGTATCTTTTACGTAAACTTTGTCACTTGATCATTGATAATTAACATCGATTTTCACCTCTAATTATTACTTAACCATGGTAAATGTATGTGCTACATAAACACCGGACACAAGTATGTTTTTCCCAAAAGCTCTTTGCGTTCTGCATCGCATGCACAGGCACAAAGAAGTACTGGGGATAGTTGGGAGAAGACCTGCTTAAAGTCATCTCTGAATTTCTCTTTGCCTACAGCCATCCCGACCATGCTTATGCACTCCAAGGCTTGGCTTTGAAGCATGTGATCAGATTTATCATTTGCATCTACCAGGATAGTCTTCAAATATCGCATTACAGAATCATACTCCCTCCGGTCCAAAATAAGTGATTTTTTGGATGTTTTTACACAGATTTAGAAATTCAACTTTTAGCATTAATTAGCAATGGGATTGACCATATTAACCTTTACTATCTCACATAAACACTCCTAACACATATTCCAACACTATTTACTCCAAGGACAATGTAGGAAAAAAAATAATTAATTCATTCTTGAAATCTGGAAAAATCACTTATTTTGGACCACAAGAAAAAAGCCAAAAAATCACTTATTTTGGACCGGAGGGAGTAGTACTTTTGGAAGTGCTCCTGTTGAAGTACAAATAATATAGTAGCCATCATTATCCATCATAAGTAGAAATATTGAGTCAAAAATAAATGCAAGTAAATACCTTAGACAAATCAGCTGTAGCAGCCAATGCATTTAATGCTGCTTGGTGAACCATTTGATTGTCTTTCTGCATTTCAAACAACAGAAATGAGTAGGAAAAAAACAGCATGAATCTCTTAAACTTGTCAGCAGAAATCTAACTTTATAACATGGTGACCTCTATATTTGCCTACCTGTAGAAGTACAAACGCTCTGTTGAGTATTCCATCTAAGTAGGGTATCAGAGTTTCTGGCTTTTCAGATTCGCAAAAATTCATGACAGCTTCAGCTGCAAGTGCCTACGAAAATGCCAAAAAGGGTAAAAAGAGTAACCAAGGTGGCATCATGAACTAAACGAAGCAGTAATGACACATCAACCCTACGAATTCGTATGCAAATTTAAAGATCATCAACTTTATGGAATATGCAACCCATCGTAAAGGTGCAGCAAGATAGATACTTTTGCTGATTTTTTTCTGTATCGATAGTAATTTATACTTTTATAACAGCGATTTTATTTTTGGAAGTCTGCAACAACCATGAAGTGTTCCACCATTGGTCAGACCTGCAATCGTGGATTTTGAGAATCATCCATAGCTGCAGCTAATGCAGGCAATAATTGGTTATGATACTGTTCTTGCAAATCTGGACAGAAGTCAGTCGACAGCTGGTAGATTGCATTAATAGCTGCCCATCTGACTCGAGGATTAGGATCTTGGAAAGAATGCAAAACCATATTCACTATTTGCTCCAAATACTTGATCATCACCTATAGACAGATAAACCATGGGTTCAAGCTAATAGCCTAAGAAAATTAAACTAAAACAAATAGGGGAACTACATTATATCCGAGAAGTTTGCAAGCAAAGAAGCACCTCTTAAATGCTACACGATAATCGCAACATAATCATGATAAATACACTAATGAGACATCAGATTTGTACCTTTGAGCTTCCTTCAGCAATATAAGCAAGTGCAATGAGAGCTGCGTGGCGTTTCTCCCATTCAGGGGCATCTAAATAAGCAGACAGCTGCTCTATGGCAATAGGAGCAACAGTCTTGCCACCTAATGCTTTAGAAAACCGGCCTAAACACTTCTTACCAAAACCATAGCTGTCCCTTTCCCCTGCATTCTCATGCTCGGTCTCCGCACTATGCCAACTAGGTTCATCCTTAATATCCAGTAACAAATTCAATAAGATAGCAAAACAAGAGTCTGTAAACCGTGGCACCTTCTTCATCATGCCAGGGACCTTGTCCCTGGCCTCAACCAAAGTTAACATAAACTCAATTGCCAAGTGCCTCGTCTCCTCTTCCAAACTCTTAGCCTCTGCTATCTCCATTATTGAGCCCACAACAACCACTAGTTGTAGCCTCAAGAATTTAGGCTCATTCTCAGCCAACTCAATGAAAAGATCCAGCGCGTCCTTTGCTGCATCCTCCTGATCACTGTTGCACAATCCGTCAGTCAACGTCTTCATCATACCTGGCAAGAGATCTTGAAACTGCTCCTTTTCATGTGAACTAGGTATGCACTGAAGAAAGCTGATCACAGCGGTCGTGGCAGCGATTCTCACATCGAGATCATTGAGGGTATCGTCATTCAGTGTCTTAAGGAATAGAGGGTGCAATATTTTTACGTAATTAGGGACTATGGTTTCACCAATGTCGTCAGCTAGTTGAGCAAAAATTAAGAAAGCCGACTCTTTTAACTTGTTGTTTGAAGTGGAGGTGAGGCATTGGTACAAGAATGGCAGTAATTCGGGCCAGTTATTATCTGGTATAAGTGAAGCAGCTAGATCCATAACGGCGCCACGGAGCTCTAAGATGACGGATTTTGATTCTTCAAGCTGGGAGATACGATTAAGGAGAGTGCATTTGATGGTGGATTGAGTAGAAACACTTAGATTGCGCCAAGTATTGCACAAGTCATCGTCAGCAGCAGCAGCAGCAAGCAACTTACTTAGGAGGACAGCACACTTTTCACGGGAATCAATGTTTTGTGAAGAGTTGAGGAAGTTACAAAGCTTAATAGCAAGAGACTCAGGATCCTTGTGCTTTATCATGTTCAACATTGACTTATTATTAGCCTCCGAATCATTTTCCTCGGAGCTCGACATCTGATCGGAAATAAAGGTTTCAAATGGCTCCGAGTCAGGCCCCAAAATCGCCTCCATCTGGGCAATCTGGAACTGAGTCAATGTTGTGCGCTACTGGAAATGTAGTTGTCCCTCACCAATGAGGGACAAAGTGCAAGTCAAAAGCTTACTTTATTCAAATTTTCATTTCACTCCATTTTATTTCCCACCATACTCAACTCTGTATCCATTACAGTAGAGAGAGATGACTATGGAGTTGTGAGAAAAAGAGAGAAAAGCAAGAAACAACTAACCCAAAAACACATATTTTGAATTTGTAACTGCTTTCAAAATATGTACAATGTGGGCTAGGTAGGATAAAACTTAAAAACATGAGCCATTTTTTATTATGGTGTGAAGTCACGTGTATTTTCTGATAATTCTTTCTTCAAAATACGCGCATCTAATAAAATTAAAACTTATTTTAAATCCACTAACTCTAGATATTCCTGAATTCATATTTAGTAGTAGTATGTATTGCCCATTAAGATATATAGAATCTTGTTTTCTTTCAATAAAAAGAAAAGCATAAGTCCACATAGATTCTAACTCGATTACACAAAAACTTTCCATTAATAGACATGAAAATTTAGCAAAGCAAAATTCAACACTACAAAAACAGAGCTCCCCAGTGAAAACAAATTTTAATTCCTTTGAATCTTAACTTGCTCTAAGATTGATTTCTGATGCAGGCCCAGGGGCGGATCTAGAGGGTAATATACGGGTTCCCGGGAACTCAGTAACTTTTCCATAGACCCTGTATTTTTATTAAATATCTATAAATATCTATTTGTGAACTCAGTTATTATTGTATATTAATTTGAAATTGCGACAGGAACCCATAAACTTAAAATCTTGGATCCGCCTCCGGATGCAGCTGGTTACTATGTTGTAACTCCATATAGTCCTTGTACTTCATTGGTATATAAGCTGGAGGGCTATTCTCACTTTGTACCAACGGGGAAGCAGGACTTACAACTGCATCAAGTGATGGGCCAATAGCCAATCTTTAGCTCTCTTAAGATCCTTCTTAGGTAAAGTTGTGAACCAACATGACGATGAGGTTTTAGGAAGTGACGAAGTATGATATTTGGACACAAGACTTGCATACAAGGCAGTAGACATATAAGACCTATACATTTTGAGCGTTGAAGCCAAGTAAACTATTCTTTAAAAGATTACTTTTCTCATTGGCTAATGCAAATATTTTATTTTATATATAATTTTTGTGAAAGTTTTTCGCAAATACTTGGACCAAATTGAATGAACATCTGCTCCTCTTGCATTATTATTATTACTAGTAACACACGTGTATGTCAAGTCTTGTAGTGAAACGATATCGTAAAACAATTAGTACTATAATATTAAAATAAATTAAAGCTTTAAAAGAAATAAAGTAAAAGTTCGTATGAATGACTAATGCAGATCATCATATGGTAATTTTTTTGTCGAGGTCAAAATGATTTGATATCATATAAACTTATAAATATGAATAATCAAAGTTTAAATCTGGGGAGAATGAGACGTCTTTTTAGTGTTTGCTACTATTTCGGTCACTGTCATTGTATGTTTTGTACACAATCAACTGGGTTGGTACCTTTTTTCCACTTGAATATGCATTTTTGGTTTACCATATGTGTTGTTGTACATATCTTGTTAAATTATTGTGTTGGAGACAAAACTCAATGTAACAAAGTAATATTCGAAGAATGTTAGTTATTCTGATTTATAAAAAAGTTATCTTGATGGTTTTCAAGTTTTTAGATATATTAGCAACACAATTTAATTGTGAATATGAGCAATGCCGATTGTGCTTACAAATATTTTACGTCTTACGGTGGTTGCCTTATTTTTAAGAAACTGCAACTTTTTTTTTTTTTTTTACAATCGCATACATATCAATAAGTTGTTAGCAAAAGAAAGTATAGTATTATTTTTGTACAATAATTTATTCATCATATGTCTTTTCTAGAATGGCAAGTACAAATATAATAATTATTTGTGATAACAAAACTTAATAGTTACCTTATTTACTTCTCGATATCCATGCAATATATTCTTTTCACAAGTTGTTCTTAATGATAATTTTAGTTTAACATAAGAGTAAATATAAATGTATTTGTTATAAAATGTAACATATGTACACATATGTTTGCATTGCGTGCACATATATAACACACAATTGTACATATACATGAAGGTGGTTCTATCTTTCTTTCAGTCAATTCAATAGGGAGAAGAAGTTCTAAAATTGGAGTTGTAAATTCAACAAAGAAAGAAAGCAATATACTTATTTATTTCTCAAGATGAATTGGCAAAATAGTTAAGGAGAATGTCATATTATTTTGTACAACCAGAAAAAGACCTATCAGAAAGCTAAAATGATAGATATTCTTTTTATGTCATTAACTGACTACCGGAACAAACCGTTTAAATATATACATGATTATTTATTTTTAGAAATGATTTCAAATTAAATTAGTTTCTATTTTACATTTTTCTTTCTACTTTTATGGTATCTAAATACCAAAAATCTTTTGATACTCTTTTTTTTTTCACATTATAGTTGTATTTTCTAATTTTCAATCATGAATTCTCAATATTTTTAGAAATTTACTTATGTCCGTACAAAATTCATATTATCAATGCAATTTAACATGCTAATTTTATTATTCAAAGTAATTACTTATATTATTTACTTTTTAGTGATCTAATAATGTAAAATTTTATACTATCAATTAAAAATTATACATTCGTTCAAATCTACCCCTAATTTAGACGGTTGGCCACGTGTCACAACCAAAATCAATTGACCCATCCCCAATTTAAAATATCCGATTCCTCTCTTATCTGACCCGACACCCGACACCCGACCCTAAAACCCCCAACCTAACATAACCCAGCGACACGACTCCATACTCCTCACCTCTCCACCCTTTCTCTCCTCTTCTCTTCCCTCACCGTATACCAAAATCGCCAGAAATCATGGCATTTCACCGAAAAATTTCTCTAGGTGGAACTAACCTCCACGGTACTAGCTTCCCCCTCTTCGTCTCCTTTCTCCTTCTCCATGTTTCTTCATTCAAACAGCGACCCCGTTTTACCATTGACTACCTCTACTCTCTCTCACTGTTTTCCCTCTTCTTCATTTTCATCCAGCATGATGGTATGGTGTCCATCTCATTCAAATGATTTGGCAGCCAATTTTGTTGACTTGGTTTGGTTTGGTAGCCAACCTTGTTGAATTGGTATGATTTGATAGCCAATTTTATTGACTTGGTTTCGTTTGGTAGCCAACCTTGTTGAAATTGTGAAAAGGGTGTGCAAATTGTCAAATATTGTAGGCTTTAAAGAGTGAGGTTTTGGCTATAAAAGGAGAGCTTTAACTCTCATTTCATCACACCAACAAAGAGAGAAAATAGAGAGAGCAAGATATTCCATAAACTATAAAAAAAATAGTTTGTGAAGAAAAATAGAGTGTGAGAGATATTGTAGTGAGGTGGAAAAAGCAAAAGAGTATTTATTTCTTTTGAGGGTGTAGTGGTCTTAGGAGTATTTTTACTCATTACTATGCAGTGTAAAATTCCTCGCTATAGTGATATCAGTTGCTCTTCTTGGCCGTGGTTTTTTCCTTATTCAGAAGGGTTTCCACGTAAAATCTTGGTGCCATTATTGTTGCCTTTCTATTCTTAATGATTTAACCATAACTTAGTGGTCCGCGTTTATCACTAATACCGTAAATATTATTTTTACGGGGTTTATTCCCAACAAGTGGTATCAGAGCCAAGGTTCTGTCTGAGTATGCTCTGTGGTTGCAGCACAGTCTGAACTTCCACATCAGAAAAGAATTACTTTGATCTCATGATAAATAGTAGTTGTATTTATGATAGACGATGGAAGCCAACACTAGTAGAATGGTTACTTTGAATGGCATAAATTATGCCATTTGGAAGGGCAAAATGGAAGATTTGCTCTATGTTAAGAATTTTCATCAACCTGTCTTCGCTACTATAAAGCCTGAAAATAAATCAGATGAAGAGTGGAATTTGTTATACAGGCAGGTTTGCGGCTTTATTAGAGAGTGGACTGACGATAATGTTTTGAACCATATTTCTGGGGAGACACATGCTTGGACCCTATAAGAGCACCTTGAAAGTCTATATGCTCGGAAAACTGGAAACAACAAGATGTTTCTAATAAAGCAGATGTTGGGTTTAAAATACCGTGATGGTTCCGCGATGACAGATCATCTCAATAATTTTCAGGGGATCATGAACCAGTTATCTGCTATGGGCATTAAATTTGATGAAGAAATTCAAGGCCTGTTTTTACTTGGTTCCCTACCAGATTCTTGGAAAATTCTTAGAACTTCATTATCAAATTCTGCTCCGGATGGTGTGATCTCTATGGATCTTGCCAAGAGCAGCCTCTTAAATGAATAGATGAGAAGAAAATCTCAAGGTTCCTCCTCATCAAATGTCTTGGTAACTGACTCTAGGGGGAGAAGCAAGAATCGGGGTTCTCAAAATAGAGAACATAATATAAGCAAATCCAGAAGCAGACTTAAAGATATTGAGTGTTATCATTGCGGGAAGAAAGGGCACACAAAGAAGTTCTGCCGGATTTTGAAAAAGGAGAATAGAGACAAGGAAGAACAAAAAGAAGATGGCAATCGTGTGGCCACTGTCACTACAGAAGATCTTGTTATTGTCCTTGATGCGGATCTGATAAATATTGCTTGTGATGAGTCTAGTTGGGTTGTGGACAGTGGTGCCGCATCTCATGTAACATCAAGGAAGGAATTTTTCTCATCATATACTCAAGGTGACTTTGGAACTTTGAGTATGGGTAATGAGACTGTATCTAGGGTGGCTGGTGTTGGAACGATTTGTTTGTACACTAGTATTGGAACTAAACTAGTTTTAAACAATGTAAAGCATGCACCTGATGTTCGTTTGCATTTGATCTCTGTTGGTATTTTGGATGATGAGGGATATGTTAGTACCAATGGTGCTGGAAAGTGGAAGCTCACTGTGACGACTCGGCCGCTTGTCTTAAGAATTAATACCCTGATCCCCTATTAACTATTTTTCCCAAGTTTATTTCTGCTATTTTGATTTGCCGGGATGTTCGGTTGTAAGTTTCGGAGAGTTTTGGGACACTTAGACCCTAAATGAGAGCTTAAGTGTTAGAAAGTTGACCGCAGTCGGAATAGTGTGAAGACGGCCTTGGAATGGAAATCCGATGTTTTCGTTAGCTCCTTTAGGTGATTTTGGGGTTAAGAGCGTGATCGAAATGTGTTTTGGAGGTCCGTAGCTAATCTAGGCATGAAATACCGAAAGTCAAATTTTGGAAGATTCCGGTTCGATAGTGAGATTTTTATCCGAGGGTCGGAATGGAATTTCGAGAGTTGCAGTAGTTCCGTTATGTCATTTGGGATGTGTGTGCAAAATTTCAGGTTATTCGGATGAGGTTTGATAGACTTTTTGATCGAAAGTGTGTTTTTAGAGTATTTGGAATTCTTAAGCTTGAATCCGATGAAAAATAGGTGTTTTAATGTTATTTTGAGCGTTCCGAAGGTTGGAACAAGTTTGAATGATGTTATGGGATATGTTCGTAGGTTTGGTTGAGGTCCAGGGGGCCTCGGGTGTGTTTCGGATGCTCAACAGGTCATTTTTAGAACTTGTTGAAATTGCTGAACTGATGGTATTTGGTTTCCTTCTCTACGATCGCAGCCTTCCCTCCGCGTTGTTCTTCGCGATCGTATTACTTTACTCGCGATCGCAGAAGTCAGCCCCTTCCTCCTTCGCGCTCGCAATTACTCTTCCGCGTTCGCATAGCAGAAATGGGAGCTGGTGGTTCATTGCCCTTTTACTCTTCGCGTTCGCGTGGCATCGACCCCGAACGCATAAGCTGGCTTTGTCCTCTTCTACGATTGCAAGCTTTTTATTGCGTTCGCATAGGCCAGCTCGAGGACCTTCAATTTTTTCTCTTCGCGATCGCATCCCTTTCCTTGCGATCGCATTGTACAAAATCTGGGCAGAGACATTAAAATCCCAATCTGAGGGTTTAAGCTTATTTTCATAATTTCGAATTTGGGAGCTCGGGATGGGCGATTTTTGAAGACTTTTGCACCCGGGCAACTTGGGTATGTGATATCTACCCAACTTAGATCAATTTTCATGATTCCTAACTTAAATCTAGCCTTTAAATTTTGAATTTGGTGGAAACATTTGGGAAAATTTGGATAAACTTCATAGGCCGAATTATTGGATTTTGATTGGGTTTTTGACGTCCTATTTGAGAGATTCTTACATGAATAGACTTGTGTGAGTGTGAGGATTCTGAAAATATAAATTTTACCCGATTCCGAGACGTGGGTCCGAGGGGCGTTTTGGTCATTTTATATAATTTCGCGTATTAGCTTAGAATTTGATTGTAGAATCAGCTTCTTGAAGTATTATTTACATTATGAAATGGAATTGAATGGATTTGGGCCATTTGGAGTCAGATACTCGTGGCAAAAGCGTGGTTTCGGGTTGATTTGAGCTTGTTCGAGGTAAGTGGCTTGTCTAACCTTGTGTGGGGGACCTTCCCCTTAGGATATGATATGTTTGATACTTGAAATGCCTTGTACGTTAGGTGACGAGCACGTACTTGAGCTAATTGTTGAAAACCCGGTGTTTCCTTAAGTTATTTCAATGGAATTCTTGTCCTGCTTTATTATACTTGTAAATTTAGCATGTTGTTAGTTAGAAAAACATGTTTAGTTGACTTAAATTGCCTATTTGCTTAAATTGCCTTGATTGCATTACTTGAAGCATGTTAGGCTAGGATTACTTATTGCTTGATATGAGACCTCCATTACTGAATATCTTCTTGTTGTTGGTGTGTATTTACATTGGGACTACGAATGTGGGATTCAGGTAGCTCCCCCTTGTTTGTTTACTTTGGGACTACGGGTTAGATTCCCGGTAGATCCCCCTGCATAGTTATATGGGACTATGGGACTGCACCCGGTAGATTCCTACAGTACTGGGTATTTACATTTTGGACTACGGATCGGGATTTCGGTAGATCCCCGCGCATTGATAGTTGGACTACGGGACGGTATCCCGGGAGATCCACTGGACAGTTGTAATAGGGACTACAGGACGGTATCCTGGGAGATCCTCGTTGTTACTATTGGTACTGAGCTGTATTTACTTCCGTGGTTACTCTATTTTTGTATAGTTGTTGTTACCCATATAACCTGTTTTATTTCATTGTTGTACTCATTTTTACTGCTTATTTCGTATTGTTGAAACTTTATATTATGTTTAACCTCAGTAGGGCCCTGACCTTCCTCGTCACTACCCGGCCGAGGTTAGGCTTGGCACTTACTGAGTACCGCTGTGGTATACTCATGCCTCTTCTGCGCATGTTTTTCGTGTGCAGATCCAGGTACCGCTGACCAGGTATATCTGCTGCGTCCACAGACCAAGGAGTTCCTTTCTATTCCTGCCTTAGTATTTAACCCTTCTATATCTTTCAGTTTTATTAGACATTATGGAGTTAGAGCCGTGTAGTATTTATCCTAGCTTATGATTTGTGGGGTTCCGGGTCTTGGATTTAGATGTTGGTTTTGAGACTTATATATATGGTGTATGCCGAGTGGTACATTTAGCACTATTATTGCTTTATTTCTGTTCTTAGATCATTTTATTTTTGCAAGTTTGGTTATCTTCCGCAATTTAGGCTTACTTAGTCGTAGAGACTAGGTGCCGTCACGATGGTTCACGGAGGGCGAACCGGGGTCGTGACAAGTTGGTATCAGAGCTCTAGGTTCATAGGAGTCACGAATCACAAGTCGGTTTATTAGAGTCTCGTTGATCGGTACAGAGACATCTGTACTTATCTACGAGAGGCTATGTAACTGTTAGGAAAATTCCACTTCATTTGATTTCCTTCTCGTGCGATATTTTTGATATCACAACTAAACTTCTGTCTTTCTATTCTCTCACAGATGGTGAGGACACGTGCTATACAAGGGGATCAGGCACCTGCGCCCCCTACTGCAACCGTCAGAGGCC